TCCTGCCACTGCCCCTTCCCTCAGCCCTGCCAGCCACTCCAGCCCTCCCCCCTTCTCCCTCATCCTCTCCCCGTCCTCCCCACACGCTCCCTGAAGCCTCCCCCAGAGGCCCCCCCCCCGGCTGTTTGTGTCGCACCTCGCACCCCATTGCTCATGCGCTCACTTCCGCGCTCCGCTCCCCTCCCCCCCGCCCACCCTGTCGCCCAGGGTAACGGCTTCGGGGTGGCAAGGGGGCTGCGAACAACCGCAGCAGGAGAGCGGCCTGTGCGGCTCCATCTCCCCGCGCCCCGGGACCGAAAGGTGAGGCGGGAGGGCAGCACGAGGGGCAGGGGAGAGCCCGGGAATGGGGGGACGATGGGGAGCCTGGGGGGAGGGGAGTGCGGGGGGGTGCAGGGGAGAGCCCGGGAATGGGGGGAGCGAGGGGGGAGGGCAGGGGAGAGCCCGGGAATGGGGGGGGGGACGAGGGGGAAGCGTCGGGGGGGGGGGGGGGCAGGGGCGGGGAGGGGGATGGAGGTGGACAGGGGCTGGGAGAAGTAGCTCAAAGAGCAGTCTAAGCTAAGGGACTGGTATAAAATATCCAATTCTGGTTCTTTAGTTAAAAAAACTCCTTGCAGCCCTCAACTCCTTGCATTAAAATTAGGATATTTGAACAATAATTGCCAGATTGATTATTTAAGACACAGATCTTATTGCCGCTTTAAAGGGTAGAACCTGGGGGCACTGGGACCATGATGAACTCCTCCAAGAAGAATGAACTAGATTTAGAAAAAAGCATTACCAATAAGAAAACAGAAGAAGCCAAGTGGCAATGTATCTACCCAAATGAGAGGAGAGAGAGGAATCACGTTTATACTCTTCTTGACATCAGCGAGAACGTATTTGAACAAGATGAACGGTCCTTGGAATATGTCATCAGGACAGGATGGGAGGAAGCTGTAAGTTACATTTTATATCTTGAGAAATGACTTAGTAGCCGGGAAAAAAATTCTCAAATGCAGTTTTGGAACATTTGCTAACAATGGCTATTTAAAAATTCATTTGTTTTGATACAATGTAGTTTGAAAAGTCAACAGATACTGCTTTGGATACCTTAAAGCAGGGGTGGCCAACCTGAGCCTGAGAAGGAGCCAGAATTTACCAATGTGCATTGCCAAAGAGCCACAGTAACATGTCAGGAGCTCCCCCTCGCCACTAGTGTCTCCCACCCACCAGCAGCACTGCCGGTCAGCAACAAACCCTCCATCCCTGCACCTCCCACCCACCGCGATCAGCTGTTTGCGGTGTGCAGGAAGCGGCGGCGCAAGGGCACGATAGACTCAGGGGAAGAGGCGGGGGCTTTGGGGGAAGGAATGGAGTGGGAGTGGGACCAGGGTCTGGGGCAGAGCCCGGGCTTGAGCAGTGAGCACCCTGTAGCACATTGGAAAGTTGGCGCCTGTAGCTCCAGCCCCGGAGTTGGCACCTATGCATGGAGGCTCATATTAACCTCTGAAGAGCTGCCTGCTTTAGCAGGTGCGGGGCCCCATGCCGGGACACGAATTGTCTCCCCCCCCCCCCGCCCCAACTCCGCCCCCTCGGATCCCTCCCCAAATCCCCGCCCTGGCCCCGCCTCTTCCCCAAGCACACCGCATTCCTCCTCCTCACGCCTCCCTCCCAGGCTTGCGCTGATCAGCTGTATGGCGGCGCAAGCGCTGGAGGGAGGGGGGAGAAGCAGGACACGGCTTTTTTTTTCCCCCCCCGCCCCGCCGGCAGCCCCGGACATTGCGGGGCCCTCTTAGGCACGAGGCCCCATTCCGGGGAATCGGCTTAAAGCCGGCCCTGAGGTTGGCCACCCCTGCCTTAAAGCTTCTAAACCAAAGTCAAAGTTGAGAATGGGGGGAAATCATGACAAATCAACAGTTGATTGTTTTAAACAAGATATTTAACACTACACATGGTTTAAAAAAACAAAAAGCTAGGAGCTTCAAAATAGTTGCAGGGAGCTGCTTAAAAAGCAGAGGTAGTTATGGAGGAACTTTAAGAACATACTGAAAATATTGTTTAGGGTTTTATTCTTAAACTAATAGAGATCTAGTTTGTTACAGCTGCAGATTAGTCAGTATGAAATGGAATATACAGAAAAGACCAACAGCTGCAACCTCCACACAAACCAAAAAGTGTCACTGTGCTAATCAATGAACAATACCTGCTTATGGGGGGAGGGGAAATTAGGATAAAATGCTTTGATCTAGGTGCAGAAAAACAAGAAGAAAATGAAGTATTCTGTTCCTCATTTAGCATGTGTAGTAGAATGAAGCAAGATAATTACATGTGAAAAACAAAATAAACTGAACCATTAGTTAATCTATAGATAAACTAAGCTGTAAATGATCCTTTGAACCAATTAAAAATAAGATGAGCTTTGTGGAATCAGACACTTGCCAACTTTATTTTTAGTTTAGTATAAAGGACTGATCATCTTCCTCTAGTTCCTTCAACTTTTGTAAAGTGGACATACAACTGCCATTTTTATGTCTATCACTGTCTTGTAACATAGACATATGGAATACCTAAAAACCTCACTAAACCTTCAAGTAAGTTCCTTTCCTGTAGCTACAATGAAGTTGAATAGAAGGAATATTAATAGTGGTTAGTATAAATGGTACTCACATCTGTTTGAAATAATTCTGATTAAAGCTGCTTCTCACCTTTTTACCTACAAAACAGATGAGATTCTTGAAGAAAAGGCAAGTAGGGTTGTGATGGTTTAGTTAGCTTAAGAATTTGGTGTACATTATCCATTATATCAGAGTAGTAACAAATAGTTCAGCTGTGGGGACAGATCACTTGTATCACAGAGGGAAATGGCTTTGGAGGCTTCTGGTTTTCTGTAGTTTTAAGATTATGAATTTTTCAGAATGACTGAGTACAATGGGTTCAAACCTTGCCATTCTAGGGTAGGATTACCATATGTCCAGGTTTTCCTAGATATTGCCTCTTTTTTGAGCTTCCGTCCTATGTCCGGGTGGATTTTTTCAAACAGGAAATGTCTGGAATTTTTTCAGAGCAGATGCTGCAGCTCAGAAAGAGCCCTGATTGGACCGCTTCCCGATTGGTATCTCCCCTGCATCAGCAGCTGTTTGGTCCATTACCCTGCAGCCAAAGCTGCTGGGTCCTGCCCACCCAGGCCTAGGGAGGGGTCCATAGGGAGGCGCTGACTGAGGGCTGTTGCTGCGTCCTGGGCTTGTGCCAGCTGTCCTGCCACCATGACAGGGAGCGACACTCCCCCCCACCTCCAGCGAGTACCACTGCCGCAGGTATCCCCTGCAGTTCCCCCTTCCCCCTCCCAGTGTCCTCTTTTTGGGAACCTGAAATATGGTAACCCTATTCTAGGGAGGCTTAGATGGTTAAAAATAACTCAGATAAACAACTGTTTTCTATCCAGTGTTAGGTGTGGACATACACCAAAGACATTCTGGTGTTAAAGTTGTCTTTTCCCCCCACCCCCACCCAGTGATGCAGTCTTCTAGATTGGTTTTTTGAAACCTATATTTAGGGCAGACCTATCTGTATAGAAAAGCTGTTTTTGTGGTTAGGAATACAGTTAGTGGGGTGAGGATAGTTTTGGATAGTCTATTTTGTTGTAACTTCTTGATTTGAGTAGATATTTCTAGGTCTAAGTTCTCTGGTACCTGCTGATATAACTGAAAAGCTAAGTCTTTCTAAACTTTAAAGGTGTGATCTGCAAAGCAGTTTAGGTGCTTAAGTCCTATATGCAGCACCTCTGCACTCTGTGAAATTCCTGCTTGGCTGCCACCTAACCCTGGAGACTAGTGATTTTCAACTGGGGGTCCACAGACTGTCTCAGGGGTCTGCAATAGGTAACTATGAAAATTAAATTTCAGATCCCAGGAAAGGCATTCCGTTTTTCTGATCAATCAAAAGTATGTAATTCCCCCACCTACAGGTCAGAACCTGGAAGTGTTATCATTACCATAGAACAAGGGTCCCCAACGCGGTGCCCGCGGGCACCATGGCGCCCGCCGGGGCATCCATGTGCACCCACCTACTGGCCACCGGACAAGCAGCCGCCGAAATGCCACCATGAAGCGGCAATGTCAAGAAGCGCTACTGCCGAAATGCTGCTGAATTTCGGCCGCGATGCCTCTTGATGACACTGCTTCACAGCGGCATTTTGGTGGCTGCTTGTCTGGTGGCCACAGTCCTCGGTGGCCAGGGCTGGTTCCAGGCACCAGCTTACCAAGCAGGTGCTTGGGGCGGCACGTCCAGCTGTTCGGCGGCAATTCGGCGGACGGTCCCTCGCTCCTGCTCGGAGCGAAGGACCTCCCGCTGAATTGCCGCCGCAGATCACAGCTTTTTTGTTTGTTTGTTTGTTTGGCTGCTTGGGGCGGCCAAAACCCTGGAGCCGGCCCTGTCGGCGGCTAGTCATCCGGCACCCGCCCCACGGAAACCGAGTGGCTAGGCAGCAGTTCTGCAGAAAAGGACCTAGGGATTACAGTGGACGAGAAGCTGGATATGAGTCAACAGTGTGCCCTTGTTGCCAAGAAGGCTAACAGCATTTTGGGCTGTATAAGTAGGGGCATTGCCAGCAGATCAAGGGACGTGATCGTTCCCCTCTATTCGACATTGGCGAGGCCTCACCTGGAGTACTGTGTCCAGTTTTGGGCCCCACACTACAAGAAGGATGTGGAAAAATTGGAAAGAGTCCAGCGGAGGGCAACAAAAATGATTAGGGGGCTGGAGCACATGAGTTATGATGAGAGGCTGAGGGAACTGGGATTGTTTAGTTTGCAGAAGAGAAGAATGAGGGGGGATTTGATAGCTGCTTTCAACTACCTGAAAGGGCGTTCCAAAGAGGATGGATCTAGACTGTTCTCAGTGGTACCAGATGACAGAACAAGGAGTAATGGTCTCAAGTTGCAGTGGGGGAGGTTTAGGTTGGATATTAGGAAAAACTTTTTCACTAGGAGGGTGGTGAAGCACTGGAATGGGTTACCTAGGGAGGTGGTGGAATCTCCTTCCTTAGAGGTTTTTAAGTCAGACAAAGCCCTGGCTGGGATGATTTAGTTGGGATTAGGTCCTGCTTTGAGCAGGGGGTTGGACTAGAAGACCTCCTGAGGTTCCCTTCCAACCCTGATATTCTATAATGATTCTATGAAAAGGTTGGGGACCACTGCCATAGAAGCTCACAGTTTAGTGCCCTTTCTCACGCTGCATCAAATGCTGGGCTGAGCATGTGCAACATTTATAATTGAATTCTGTTCAGTCAGTTTTCAGTTTAAGACTTCTATGGTAGGGGTCCATGGACCACAGATTAAATTTCCAAAGGGGTCCGCACCTCCATTTGAAAACTTGTTGGGGTCCACAGATGAGAAAAGTTTGAAAACCACTGCTGTAGATGCCATAGGCGCCGACTCCGGGGGTGCTCCGAGGCTGGAGCACCCGCAGGGAAAAATTGGTGGGTGCAGAGCACCTGCTGGCAGCTCCCTGCCCCGCCCCCCTGCCCCAACACACCTCTGCCTCCGCTCTGCCTCCTCCCCTGAGCGGGCAGCCACATCCTGCTTCTCCCCCCTCCCTCCCTCCCAGCACTTGCGCTGCGAAACAGCTGTTTCGCGTGGCAAGCCTGGGAGGGAGGGGGGAGGAGGAGGAATGCAGCACGCTTGGGGAAGAGGCAGAGCCAGGGTGGGGATTTGGGGAGGGATCCAATAGGGGCAGGGAGGGGGCGGAGGGCCACGAGCACCCACCGGCACCAACAAAAGTTGGCGTCTGTGGTAGATGCTTAAACTCACGCTGCCTAACTTTCCATTGTAAAAATTTCCCAGGTGCTTAAGTTTTTTAACTCTAGGGCACGTGCCCTGGTGATCCACTCTAGGCATCCAGATGCTTATCTCCCACCTCGGCCCCAAAGTGATTCACAAGCCAGGGGAGGGTAGGCATTTGGCTGCATAAATCACGTATGGGGCCTAAGCAGCTAGGTGGCCTTTGAGCATGACTCCCAGATCAGGTCCCATTCAGATTCATGTCTCTTTTCACTCATTGCTTTTTAATGTAAATGGTTTTCTCATAATATGAGTAAGGCTTTCCCATTTCCTTGTACTTTGGACTGTGGTTCAAAAAGAAGCTTTTCTCTTCTCCCAGTGAAATCACTTCTCTGTGTAGGTGCTGTGCTTTTTGTGTCCTGTTTCCACCTCTAGTTTATGGTCACTACTTCTATATTTGGTAAGAGTCTGCCTTAATTTTTCACATTAAATTGTGCAGAGGTAGGCTGCTAGTGCAGAGCTCTGAAAAGGGATCTTGTAAAATGGTATTTCAGTTTTTGAGCTCTTAATTTTAAGCAGTCAGTAGCAGGTGATGTGGTTTTCTCCTCTCAGCTGGAAGTTTGTCCTGTTGAAGCCTGCAAGAGATTAATATTAGTGAATCAAAAGCTAAGTAAAATCCACTCCTAGTCAGCAGTGGAACGTATGTTGTTTTGATTGATTGAAATGGCACTAGAAATGCATTTGTTTTGTACATGGATCATAAAAGAAACATCACAATTCTGTTCTGTACTCAGTTTAGTAAAGAAGTGGGAACTAAGGAAAGCTATAATAATCTCTCAGATCCAAGACTTTGGGGGGAAGAGAACATGTTTTTCTTTCAAAGATAATATAATGTAACGGAAATTGGATTTTTCATGGTCTTGGATATCACCTCTGAGGCTTGCAGTGTAGGACTCTGTAGAACAGCACTGCAAGCATACAACTAAAACAGGCATGAAAATCTATGGAGTCTACTGGTTTTTCTGTCAATAAAAATCTTCGAATACTGTTTTTTTAAGTGGGCCTGGCTAAGAATAAAAAACTACTTGTTAATTTGGCCCAAACAGTAAACCTAAGTAGCATCATGAGTGCTATTAGTTAACCATTACTGTTACATTTGTACATAGTTAATTTTTTTTCTTGTGAAGAAAGCAACTAGTATTTAGATTTAACATATTTCTCTGTTCCCAGGTGCAAGGCTGGGGTAAAGTCGCTCCATTTGCCTGCCTTCAGTTGCAAAAGCAAGCCAAGAAATCAAGGGCAAATGAAACCATCGACAGTTGCCTGTTTTGCTTAGATATGAGGCAAAATAATGACAAAAGTGTGAGCCAAGAAACCAAGACTACAAGAGATCAATCAAAATCTGATTGCAAATTAAGCACATGTGCTATAGATGATACCGTTTCAGAAAAGAAAGAGGTTCCAGTCCATTCTAGTGAGTCTTCCAATTGTTCTACCACCGATGGAACTAAGAGAGAAAGTTGTAATGGCAAGTTACGCTCTATTCAGATATTTCAAGGTGAAAAGAAAAGTTTGCCAGTAAAGGAATACAGTATATGGCAACCAGAAAAAATGAAAAACCCAGAAGCCCTAAAAAATAAAGCTGTAAAGACCCCTGAGCCTACCATGCCTGCTCCAGATAGCTCTGAATCTTCAAACTTAAAGTCTTTGCTGATATTGCCACCAGTGAAAGATGCAACTACAAAAGATAGCACAGATCCATCTTTTAAGAAGAGTATAGCAGCTATCTCCCAGGCAAATCAGAAAATGCTCAATGCTACTTCAGCTGAGACTGCTTCCGGTAGTAAGGGTACTCAAACAATCGAACAAAAGGGGGAAAAAGAAACTGACTGTATCATTCATGATACAGTGAAGGAGAAACAAATTCACGAACCATTATCCTTTGTCCCAAGGCTTCCAAAAGCATTTCTGCAAAGAGGCCCTGAACAGTTACACTGGCCCTGTGCTCTTTGGCCAGATAGAAAAATTACAACCACTTCTAATTCTGTTTCTTTGAGAAAGAACAGTCATCTTGCTAACATGCAGTTTCTGCATACAAAAGGAATACAGTACACAAAACATGATGAGATCAGAGGTCCTTTCACCAACAGTATTAAAAACAGAAGTCTCTCAGAGGCCAAGCAAGGAAATGAATCAAAAACACAGGCGGTGCAACTGCTTCCTGGACTATTCCCTTCCTTAACGGTCAGCCATGTTGCAATAACCGCAATGTCTTCTAGACTGACCTAACATTTTTATACTGTAACTTCATGTCATTTTCTTCTATTTGTTTGAACTCATTATATGATGAGAAAAGGATTGAAGATACATTGTACTTGTGCTCCGTGTGAGCAGACTTGCCGTTTGTTAATTTTTTGTAGGTGCTACTTATATGTATCAGTTTATAATACTATACATTCCTTCCAAATAATTTAATTTCCAGTTTATAGATTAACTGTCTATTGTATACAATATTCTAATTCCCATTGCCCCATCTTAATTTATTTAAGGTTCTACTGGAACTAAGTGCATTCACCTCATTCAGGTGCAGCCCTCATGAACAATTAGACTGTGGGGCAAGCTGGGGTGTGAATCTATCCCACATCAGTCTGCCCTGCTCTAACTGTCCATGTACACCCTGCTGCTATATGTTAAGTTTGTTACAGTGCTTTGGGTTAGTCCTCCTTAGCTCAAAGCACTTTAACAACCGTTAATGCACACAGCCAGTTAAGAGCATGTCAGGCTAATGTAGGATAGATTCACATCCCAGCTTGCCAGTGTCTAATTCTTCCTGCAGACAAGGCCTAAGTATGGTCATGGGGTACCTGGCTCAACAATGCATTTTAGCACAATCTTGAGTTCATCCTTATTCAGCAAAAGCCATTTAAGAATTTTCTTTATTTTAAGTATGTGCTTCAGTTTCATTGAGATCCATGGGGCTGAATATTTGCTTAAATGCTTTGCGGAACTGGGACTTAAAAGAGCAGCAGAACTAGTCAAGTAGCTACAGAACAGCAGCTCTTTCACAGTGGCATGGTTAAATGTTCAGTTACTACGTTTGTCCTGATTCGTTTAAGTACTATAAGTATTTTTTTGTGTATGCTTCCTTGTTTTGTTTTCATGTTTTATTAACAGAGGCCAGACTCATCTATTATTAAACAGAGGGACTTTGATATCAAGTTTTATCTGTGTTAAATGTACATTTCATTTTGACTAATTAGCTATCACAGTTTCCTCCATAAAATACAGGTTAAATTTGCATTCACGACTTAGGGTAGCTTAAATAAAAATTATCCACATCCACAATGACTGCGTGTTTCGCAGTAGTCAAAGATTTTCTGTGACTGGCAGCCACTTATTTATTCTCTCCCCCTTTTTGATGCATTTGACAGTAACTTGGAAGTAATAGGAAAGATAGTACCAGTTAAAAATTCCCAAATATCACATGTTCCACTCTTACACCAGAGCTCTAAACTCACCATCTAGCTGATTTAAGATTCAGAGAATCAGTCATAGGAGATTAAAGTTAAATCCAGAATTTATATTTTTATAGTACGTTAGTTTCAAAGCAGTTTACAGACTTCTACATATTAACTATTGACTCACCCTCATGTATGCACTGCTTGAGATCCAAAAAGAGAGAGGGTAAGCTCTTTCTAGGCAGCAACTAGAAGCAAAGGCTAAGTAATGAAAGGACTTTTTTATTTTAAAAAGCTACATGAAGAAATCGCCCACTATTGATGTGCAAGAACTTCTAGGGGAGAAATACAGCAGCCCTTCAATAACACACATCACTGTTGCATAATAGTTTAGGGCAGATGTGAATAATATTGTTTTCCAATAGAAATTATTGCGGGAATTAAAGCAGAGTGCAATGGCTCATGTTGCAATGTGGGCAGGTCCATGCCACCACTGTTCTTTTATGAAGTGGTCAGGCCTTCTGTTTGAGCTTTAACAGCTGCAAGAGATCACTTGAAATACAATATAGTGGTACTAGTGTGGAGGGAAGAGTGCCACCTACTGAATGTTCAGCTAGTTGGGGTGAGAGAGGAACCCATACCACACTAGGTGCTAGGCATTCAACTCTAAGTTGCGATGAAGTACTGCCTTTTTTTTTTTTTTTTTTTTAAATCTTCCTTTATTTTACTTCCTTTTCCTGAAGAGTGATTATGGAAAATAAGCCCCTTTGACAACAGTCACTGGTGGCAAATTCCATACCTTGCGATAAATTTAGAGAATACATAGTTCTAAGATTATTATTTATATGAGTTTGGGTCAGACTAATGCGGTCATCCTCAAAGGGGAATAAAATCATCAGCTTGATAGCCCAGCTTTTGCAGAGTGTCCTGGGGCAAAATTACGGAGCCATTATCCCTTACAAGACCTGGTGTTTTATTTCAACGAGGCTTTAGCCTGAATAATAACTGTAGGATTTGTCCTTGTATTTCCAATGTAAGATTCCTTCCTTCCTCCCTCACCTTTCCTTAAACATTTAGAAAAGTTCTTTTTATAGTGGCTAGTTTTGAAGACATCTGATATGCTGTTGTGCATGCTTACTGGTAGAAGTTGTGGACATATGTGAACTACCACAAGAAAGATACATTTAAGTAGAAATCCAGCCAGGACAATGAAAATGAATTCTTCTTACCTACATTCCATTCTGTGAAGTAATGGATTTTATGGTACATATGGCATAATAGAAGAATTGAGTGCTTTGTATTATAACTTTAGTTCACAAACACTATAGCAAGATAGTTTGTTTTTCCACTTGGTGCTCTCATGCTTTTAAAACAGGAATGGGAATATGCGGTTATTTATTCAAAAACAGAACTGGCTGTAAATAGTCCTAACGATTTCCACTCATTGTTTTGTAGAGGAAATATCTATTGTATTTTGTTTACAAGAATCAAGGCAATAGAAAGTCGAGGGGTCTGTCTTAACTATGCAATTTGATCACAGTACTACAGTTGCACATGTCCGAATATCTGTCAGAATAGAGAGACATCATTTGGTAGGTCAGTTCTCTCTCTCTCTCTCTCTCTCTCTCCAACATCCATTTTATAATAGCCTAACTCCCTTTTCAAAATATGCCCAGTTGTTGTGTATCTCCACTTGTCTTGTGCTTTTAGGTGGAAACACCCTAGCCAGAAGGACAACCGATGCAATCTGCCTTATCTCTATGGTCTTAATTAAAAGTAGCAGTAGTAGTAAATTCTCTAATGATTTATACTATAACACTGTATTTAAATGTAAAATATCCTTTTCTGTAGAAATAAACTGACATTTATATGAGCAGGAATATTTAAGATATATTTGAATAAGCACTACAAATAGAAAGCTGGTGTCTCTCCCCTAGTCCCCAACATGGTACTTAATTTTAAAAATACGCTGTAAGAGAAACATCAGAAAACCATTAAGACCAAATGAGAGCATTCACAAATAATCAAAACATGTAGAAAGAGCAAATCAGTCCAAACATCTGCTTTCCAGTCCTCAGACAGTACTAGAAAGCGCTATTTAAACATTATATAAGCACCTGTGAAATTACTGACATTTCCATGGCCCGAAAAGAGGGAAGGTGGTGTCTATCAGACAATTGAAAACACTGATGCTTCAAAGAGAAAATAGAAAAATGATCTACTAGAAGGAGAAAGTCACAATATCCAGGTTCAGTATAGTAATTAAATAAACTTGCATTAACTGGACGTCAGCACAACTGATAGTAAATAACTTGACAGATGATAGGAAAAAGACTGTGGTTACAGCAGAAATTTATGAGCCTTGCTTCTGCAATATCTAAGTTTTATGGGTGTATTGGATAAAGAATGACTTTAAAAATGAATGTACAGATATTTTTAAACATCTTCATTTTTTTTCTTAGCTTTTGTAATTCACTTTCAGTAAGAGTACTTATTGTATTTGTGATAATTAGTTTTACATTCACACCCCCTCCCCATTCTTGTAGATCTAATTTACATTTTATAAATTTATTAGGTATTTTAATGGCAGCTTTGGTAAACTACAAGTAACAGTAACGAATACAAATATTTAAAAACTCCAAAACACTAGCAAAGTAAAGATCAGAAAGGCAAAAGGACATATTTCCCTACAGTTAGAGAGTTTGACTAGCACCTTTCATTTTGGTCAGAGAACTGAGACAGGGAGAAAAGGGGGTCGTAAATGTGCCAACCAAACCTCAGGATAACATCAAACTGTGTAGAGTCCAAAAACTGCTCCGTTACTTGTTTATATCATTATAAACAGCAACATTTGGCACTAAGATGTTAAGAATTGTTACAGCTACTGTATAGCCCTCATTTATCAGTAGGTCAGATTCTGATGTCAATTACCCCCAACTGAAAAAAAATCAAGAATTTTTTACATTAGAAGTATTGCACGCTGTAAGCCTGTGATGGAACCAAGACTAAAACCCAGCTCTCTTGCCTCTAAACCTTGTTCTCCAACCATAGAACCACCCTTCCTTCCCTCCACTGTCTTCTGTGGAGTTGTTCTGGATTTAGGCTCGCAAGGCTGAGATCAGAACTTGGCTCAGAGAGTAGAATGCAATTGTAGCTGCGTGGTGAACTTGGAGACTGTGCTAAGGTGTGGAACACCACAAGAGTTCCTCTGAGTGAGTTTCAGCTTCCTACACAATTGCAGTTACAGGTGAGGATTTCATGGCAGATCAGAAAAATTCAAGTGAGCCTTTGCAAAATTAACCTTCTCATGTAGATTTGACTTGGAAGGAAAAGTTTTTCTTTGGCAGGATGATATGAGATGTTGAAAAGTCATGGAAATCTGTGAAAGTCATGTCCCTACATAACTGCCCCAAAACTTGCACAGCAGTCATCTCTTAATATGACCACAAAAAGAGTGAAAAGGCCTGCCGTCTCTCCTGCAGATTTAGTACTTGCAGGAAGAGCTGAAAAGAACTTTTATAAGGGAGGTCAAGAGGAAAAAAATCCTTTGTAAATTTCAGGTGCTTTGGTTCTAAAGAGGATTTGAAGAATTATAATCAATTAATATCAACACCACAAATGCACTTAGCTACTGCATTAATGATTAGTTTTTTTTATTTTTACGGTTACAAAATCCACTTATATTAATGTACATTTAACATGCTTTTGTACCTCCAGGTAAACGGCTGGGGTAAAGATGCTTCCTTCACCTCCTACCAAGTACAAAATAAGTCTAAAAAGCCAAAGACAAAGGAAACACTCACTCACTTACCTCACATAGATATAGCACCATCTACCAAAAAAGAATTGGCCCAGGCAACCAAGTCTACAAAAGATCGATCAAAACCTAATTGCAAATTAACCACATGTGCTGTGAGAGAGAGAGTTTCAGGAAAAGAAAAGGTTCCAGTCTGTTGCAGACAATCTTTCAATTGTGCCCCTATGACCGATAGCACAAAAGGAGAAAGGAGTAATGGCAAATTGCATGCTACTCAGGCTTTTCAAGGTGAAAAGAGTACCAAGAATTTGCCAGGAAACAAGTACAACAAAAGGCAACTGGAAAAGCTCATAAACAAAGCCCTGAAATGTAAAGATATGAGCCTGCCACACGTAAGCCATGGTAATCTTCATGAAAACCTGAGATGTATGACCTTAAAGACATTAGTGGTTCTGCTTCAACTGAAAGAAACAGCTCCCTGTTTGCATCTAGAGCCTTTTTTTTAAGAAAAGGAAAGCAATTTCCATCCAGGGAAATGAGAAAAGTCTCAATACTGCTGCAACTGAAACTGCTTCCTGTATCCTAGTACTAAAACAAAGCAAGAGGGTGAAAAGTGACTTGTTGACAGCATAAACAATACAGAGATGGATCAAATAAAAATCAATGCACTACCAATTTTTGGTCCCTCACTTCCAAATGTCTCATTCTTTGAGAGATTGCATGTGTCCTTTCCACAGTAGGTGTTTGGGTGCTCCAGTGCACAGTTGGAGATTTTACCCTGAGCACCCTCTGCTTTCTCACACACACCATACAGGCATAAAGATCCAAGCTGCCAGAGACCCTCTTCAGTTCCTTCCTACCACCCGTGAAGGTTGATAGAGCTCCTGGTCCTTGCTTCTGCAAGTCTTTACTTGATATCTGTACATAGTACCTGTAGATAGCGTCGTGAGTTTAAAAAGTGAGTTTTTGTGGTTCTGGCAACCAGTTTGGGTGCTGGCCACAG